CTGTGACTATCTTTAAGAAGAAACTAGATGCTTTCATGGACAGGCAAAAAGGTGGGGGGCAATGTTGACGTAGGTACTAGACAGTAAGCAACTAGGATAGTAAAAAAAAAAAAATACAAAAATATATAGCTTTAAGAGGGTTAGGTCTACCCTAAAATTAAGGAACGCTCGACCTCGACACGTGATGTCGAAATGGGCGAAATCGCCTCTTCATATCACTAACTCTCCTGACTCCTGACTCCTGACACTATTTATCTGCGAAAGTGTATGAGCACGTCTTAAGCACGGTCTTAGGGAACTTAATGGAAAAGGATTAACTATTTGTGCGCCGCCGACGCCCCCCCCCCACTCACCCCGCACCCCATCCCCCAACCCCCCAACCCCTCACCCTGCTGCTTAATGTCACAATTAGCGCATCTAATGTAGCCTAGTTTGAGTAGTAGTCTTTTGTCTTTGTTTGTTGTAGTCTTTTTTTGTCTATATAACGAAATCTCTTTTTGGGCGCCAGCCTGTTCACGCTGATGGTACAGTGCTTTTCACTCGAGTTAGACACTTTTCCACTTGACTTCGCGGGGAGTCCCTCAGGAGGGAAATGAGAAGCGATCCGCGATTTTCCGCGTACAAGCAACGGCGTCCACAGACGTCCACGACGAGGAGAGAATCCCAGCGTGGATGCAGATCGAAGGAAAAACCTATCGAACCGATGGAAAATGAACGCAGCAGGAACGCGAGGATGCGAACTCCTGGATGAGAACTCCCGGATGCGAACCCCCGGATGCGTTTCGCCGACGGAATGGCTCCAGTCGACAGCACGAGCCTATCGAGGTTCCGAGGAAACACGAAAACGGATGCGAAAAACGTTTCTGCGTCTCGCTCGTTGTTTACGCAGACCCCCGAGCATAAATCTCGTCCTCTTAGTGGATTTCCCGGAAGGGAAAAGAGGATCCGTATTCGGCGTAATTCCTTGTGCAGCACGCCGTTCTTTTCCGAGTCGCATATGCGCAAAACAAAGTTTCATTCCTCGTTCGGTATGAGACTCACGCTACCACTGTGAGGAGGGTCGCCACCTTGCTCGACGCACTGTCGAGCATGGTGGCGCTGCTGTTCCGTCCAGTGCTACGGACACTGCGATCTGAGCAAAGAAGGCCCCGAAGACTTGTCATAGTAATTAGGCTAATATTGAGGTGAAACGAAGAGTTTAACATATGACCATTCAGTTCCTGACAGTCACAGAGTTGGTAATGACACCGCTCGAATCCATCCATTCCACGAACGCGTACGTCTCGCTCGCGAGAACGAGAGACGCGACACGTCGCGGCGTTCACATCGCAGGAGCGAAAGCATCGTGAAACGGGGACTCGACGCGTTCATCATCGATCGGATGACAATCTAATTAGGTCTAATTAACCTAGCACACTTCCGTTGCACGGAATCCGTCATCTCTAGGATCGCAAGGCATTTCAGACTGTTAAACTCGCGGGAAATTTCTCCGACGGCGTTCAGGACTCAAGAATCAACCCGTAAATAATACATTAATTTCGGACTTTCGACTCCTCTCGATCGGTTCGCGACGGACGAGAAGAAAACGGAGGGAGTCGGGCCGACCCATGAAGCATCTCCCGCTTGACGAAGGTGAGAAGAGAGGAAAGAGGTGAGAGGGGGGTGGGAAACAGAAGCTCCCCGGCCGGCTTCCGAGGGGGGACTGACGGCGCGACCGAGCGAGCGCGAGCGAGGAAAAGACGCGAGCAGACGACAGACCTGGATGCTCGCCGCGGTCTGGCTCCCTCCTTTCGACTTCGCTCGAGCGCATTCGGGTGTCTGATTCCGCCGATGGCACTGGAACGCGTCGGTGCCCCGTCGCCTG